GTCTTATTTTTTGTTTCGTTTTGTGTTCTCCATCTTTGCATGCACTCGGTCTGTGGGCCAGGGAGGGAGGGAAGGAGGGAGGGAGCAGGTGGGTAAGAAAAAGAGATGGTAGAGTGTGGGAGATGTGGGAGAGATGGCGGAGACGGGGGAGGGGAAAGCGGGGCAGAAAGAGACTGAGAAGGAGAGACGGGAAAGGGAGAGCGGCACACACACACACACACACAGAGAGAGAGAGAGAGAGAGAGAGAGAGAGAGAGAGTACACTGGGCACTCACCAGAGCGTCGATTCCTCTCACACTCAAGCCCGCCACTCTCCACCTGGAGGTAAGACTGACGATCACAGGCTCTATCCCCACTTCAGTACCTCGCCAATGGTCATACCTGTCTTCCTGTATCACCAGTCTTCGTGCTTCCAGTGCGGTCGATCGTGAAAACAGGCAAGACTGCCAACACATTCTCTCTTGTGTTACATAGAAAACACCCGTTCTTTCCCACTTCCTGGTGTCGGCGTTAATGATGCTCCCCACCATTCTAAGAAAGCTGTTCTCTAATTAGTCATTCCAGTAATGTCGGCCTTGTTATCCGCTTTTCCCGTTGCTGCCTCTCCGTCTCTTTCCTGACAGCGGGTGCAAAATGCGGCAGCGTCCTACAAATTCTTGGTTGGTACAGATACCCACTTGTCAGACTCACGATTTTCCTGCTTGCTATTCCGAGGTGATGCTTTCCACCAGTACCTTTGTCAGTTTGGAAAAGAGCGGGCCTCTGACCTTTCAGGGGGCCGAAATGAAATGATGGTTGCCGATTAGGTTTATCAATGGCAGCCGTCGCCGGGCCCGGGGGGACTGGTGTTTTCACTCGTTTCTGAAGCGGCAAAGGTACGAGTGGTTTAAGAGAGTCGATGTTATATTCGTGCATCCAAACTCTCAGTCAGATGCTCTTCAACTGGTAGCGACAATGTGCCTCGTCACGCAACCATCCTCGTCCTGCTTGTGCACCAAATCATACATCTATCAGTGGTAGAATCTCTCCTCTTATCATCGAGAAGGTGAAAAATGGAAATGAGTAGTGAACTTTGACAGAACACACACACACACACACACACACACACACACACACACACACACACACACACACACACACACACACACACACACACACAGAAATCTGTGCCCCTCTCTCCCACTGTCTCTGTCATCTCTCTCCTCTTTCAGCCACTCTCTCTGTCATCTCTCTCCTC